AAGTTTTTTTTACATGTATATGTTGTAACACAGAATTATGTAGATGTGGCCTCACTCTTACTTTCCTTCTATAAGATTTTTTCTACATGTATATGTTGTAACACAGAATTATGTAGATGTGGCCTCACTCTTACTTTCCTTCTGAGTTTTTTCTACATGTATATGTTGTAACACAGAATTATGTAGATGTGGCCTCACTCTTACTTTCCTTCTAAGTTTTTTCTACATGTATATGTTGTTACACAGAATTATGTAGATGTGGCCTCACTCTTACTTTCCTTCTGAGTTTTTTCTACAAGTATATGTTGTAACACAGAATTATGTAGATGTGGCCTCACTCTTACTTTCCTTCTCTAAGTTTTTTTTACATGTATATGTTGTAACACAGAATTATGTAGATGTGGCCTCACTCTTACTTTCCTTCTAAGTTTTTTCTACATGTATATGTTGTTACACAGAATTATGTAGATGTGGCCTCACTCTTACTTTCCTTCTGAGTTTTTTCTACAAGTATATGTTGTAACACAGAATTATGTAGATGTGGCCTCACTCTTACTTTCCTTCTCTAAGTTTTTTTTACATGTATATGTTGTAACACAGAATTATGTAGATGTGGCCTCTTACTTTCCTTCTATAAGATTTTTTTTACATGTATATGTTGTAACACAGAATTATGTAGATGTGGCCTCACTCTTACTTTCCTTCTGAGTTTTTTTTTACATGTATATGTTGTAACACAGAATTATGTAGATGTGGCCTCACTCTTACTTTCCTTCTATAAGATTGTTTTTTACATGTATATGTTGTAACATAGAATTATGTAGATGTGGCCTCACTCTTACTTTCCTTCTATAAGATTGTTTTTTACATGTATATGTTGTAACACAGAATTATGTAGATGTGGCCTCACTCTTATTTTCCTTCTCTAAGTTTTTTCTACATGTATATGTTGTAACACAGAATTATGTAGATGTGGCCTCACTCTTACTTTCCTTCTATAAGGTTTTTTACATGTATATGTTGTAACACAGAATTATGTAGATGTGGCCTCACTCTTATTTTCCTTCTCTAAGTTTTTTCTACATGTATATGTTGTAACACAGAATTATGTAGATGTGGCCTCACTCTTACTTTCCTTCTATAAGATTTTTTTTACATGTATATGTTGTAACACAGAATTATGTAGGTGTGGCCTCACTCTTACTTTCCTTCTATAAGATTGTTTTTTACATGTATATGTTGTAACATAGAATTATGTAGATGTGGCCTCACTCTTACTTTCCTTCTATAAGATTGTTTTTTACATGTATATGTTGTAACACAGAATTATGTAGATGTGGCCTCACTCTTATTTTCCTTCTGTAAGTTTTTTCTACATGTATATGTTGTAAAGAGAATTATGTAGATGTGGCCTCACTCTTACTTTCCTTCTGAGTTTTTTCTACATGTATATGTTGTAACACAGAATTATGTAGATGTGGCCTCACACTTACTTTCCTTCTCTAAGTTTTTTCTACATGTATATGTTGTAACACAGAATTATGTAGATGTGGCCTCACTCTTACTTTCCTTCTGTAAGTTTTTTCTACATGTATATGTTGTAACACAGAATTATGTAGATGTGGCCTCACTCTTACTTTCCTTCTGTAAGTTTTTTTTACATGTATATGTTGTAACACAGAATTATGTAGATGTGGCCTCACACTTACTTTCCTTCTCTAAGTTTTTTCTACATGTATATGTTGTAACACAGAATTATGTAGATGTGGCCTCACTCTTACTTTCCTTCTGTAAGTTTTTTCTACATGTATATGTTGTAACACAGAATTATGTAGATGTGGCCTCACTCTTACTTTCCTTCTGTAAGTTTTTTTTACATGTATATGTTGTAACACAGAATTATGTAGATGTGGCCTCACTCTTACTTTCCTTCTGTAAGTTTTTGTTACATGTATATGTTGTAACACTGAATTATGTAGATGTGGCCTCACTCTTACTTTCCTTCTATAAGTTTTTTTACATGTATATGTTGTAACACAGAATTATGTAGATGTGACCTCACTCTTACTTTCCTTCTGTAAGTTTTTTTTGCATGTATATGTTGTAACACAAAATTACATAGATGTGACCTCACTCTTACTTTCCTTCTGTAATTTGTATATATAACACAGAATGAGATAGATGTGGCCTTACACTTTGAACCCGAAAATCAAACAAGAAAAATCTCCAATTGGAGAAATTTCTGAAGAACCAACATCCTGTTGAGTCTGTGTGTGTGTTGAGGTGCATCTTCTAAGCTTCAGGAGGATACCTAGTGCTATACAGATGTCTCTTAAAAAGTGGAAAACAGCTGAAAAATAAAAGAGAAAAGCAATAACTCCTGTAGTCAGGTAGGACAACAGTATATTCCACTTCCTTGTATAGATGTATCGACCTTAAAGACAGGTCGTCATCAGGGCACAGCTTGAGGGTGATAATATGGGGGACATCTTAATACAACAATAGATTTAGACAACATCATTAAGTTACCAAGGAAGTAGTTAAGGAACATAGGCCTAGTTCAATAGTGATTGGTCTAAAATCTGTCAGTATAAAGAGGAACATATATACAATGTAGGAGAAAAATAATAAAGGGAGCTTCTGTTTTCTACAGAGAGAAGTACTTATAATTCATACAGTCTCGCTGAAGGCAATGGCTTAGGTTTATAGAAACAAGTGTTATGGATATGATGAGAATAAGGATCAAAAACCATGCTATGAGGATAAGCAAGAGAGTTGAAAATAGTTCATTAAGAAAGGTCCCCCCGGGAAGAATATTAATTGTCCTTTCATCAGAAAAAATTCGATAGGACTTCCTGCTATTTCAGAATTCCATAGGTTCTGTTTAGCTGAAGTATTAAAGATATGGAAGACACGTAGAGGATAAAGATGTAGAAAGTGGTTGAGTTAATCTTGGTTTATTTTTTACACTGCCAATATTCAATGATCTGTCTCCTCTTGTTGAATGACAGTTTTATAGGATATTTCTTTGTGTATCACTTGTTGCTCTTGAAGAGTGAAGAGTTGAATAGATAGAGTTGGTTCAACATCCATTGAATAAATGTATGAGGCTGGAGTGTGGAAGCATAGATCCTGAAGAAGAAGTGGTTTTCATTCCTCCTGTAACTTATATATAACACAGAAAATATAGGCGTGTCCCCCTTCTCTACTCCTGTAACTTATATATAACACAGAAAATATAGGCGTGTCCCCCTTCTCTGCTCCTGTAACTTATATATAACACAGAAAATATAGATGTGTCCCCCTTATCACTTTCTGTAACTTATATATAACACAGAAAATATAGATGTGTCCCCCTTATCACTTTCTGTAACTTATATATAACACAGAAAATATAGATGTGTCCCCCTTATCACTTTCTGTAACTTATATATAACACAGAAAATATAGATGTGGCCCCTTCTCTACTTCTGTAACTTATATCTAATGTTTAACACAGAATTAGGTAGATGTAGCCTTTCTTACACTTTCATTCTGTAAGATATTGCCTTACACTTTGCTCTTGTAACTTAAATATATAACACAGAATTAGATAGATAAGGCCTTACTCCTAAATGCTATCTGTTTTACACTCTCTACACAATAAGGTAGCCAGTCTGTCAATGCATATACCATCTGTTGTCTAATTGGTGTCCTGATCCACAGCTGAAATAATGATCACTGTTCCAGCCTACAAACAGTCCCCCTTATTGTGCCCTGCCTGTCCAATTTGAAGGAAACATGTTTAGTGTGAAATAGAAACAAACTGAAGATGTTTTTTTTTTCTCTTTCACTTTGTTTCAATATTTTCAAAGCATCTTTTTCTGGTCTTTTACTGTAATAGAAACACTACAATAAGTCTATTGTTTTCAGTGCATTGTTATGACAGTAGTAAACAGTACTTGGTAATTGCGTAAACTGTGGTTGGTGATTATAAACTAAAACCTGATGAATTTTGAAACATTAATATATCTTAATATATTATGTCAGCTGTCTTCAAAACTGTCCTCTAGTCTTTGAGATACCATGAAGTTTCCAAAAGAAATTATCAGAATTCTTCATGTGTTTTGCTCTTTATGAATAGTCCTGTTCAGTTTTTGTAATACAGTACTGTAGTCATATCATTGGTAGAGGGCAAAAGTTCTTCAGAATTCAGGATTAGGTCATCCTCAGATTTCAGAAGAAGGATCCGTTTAGCGCTTATTTGATCATTAGCAATCTTTGGATTGATTAGAAAAATCAATATGGGTGACCAATGGCCATCTTGGATTTCGGCAGTGATTGCCTGTTGTTGCTATGTTTTGAAAAGTAAACAGTGGATGAATGTAAACATTTTTATGTAAGATCCTCTTTGTGCCTAGTTATGTATTATCAGTTTTGGGACTGGTTGGAAAAAAAATGACTGAATGGTGGCCATCTTAGATTTTGATAGGAATTGCTTATTGTTGCCTTATCTTGAGAAGATCATTTTAAAATTTCAACTGTCGGTTTCCCTTGGTCCCTAATTTTGTATTGTCATTTTGAGACTGAATGGAGAAAAAGTGTAGCTGACATGTGACATCTTTTGATTAGTAATAATATAGGATTGCTATTTTGGGAGAATGACAAGACAAATTATTCACAAATTTTGAAGGTAGATTTCCCATAGTTCGTTGTTTTTGATGTTCTATTTTTGATTAAAAAAGAAAATTGCTGACAGGTGGTCATCTGGTGAAATTGACAGTTACATAGTATGTAGTATGTAATTGCCACAGACGAGATCTTTATCTATTTTTAATTGGTTCACCTTGTATCTTATTGTTCATGTTCAGTATTCAGAGCAAGTGAGAAAATAGAAGAGAAAAGAAGGAAAAAGAGACCTACTGAAAATCACAACTGCCAAGATCCCTCTATAACCTCTTGTCTAAATAAAACCATTCACAGTATTTTTTTTTTTTTTGTAAATAAAACTACTAAAAATCTTTATTTTTCACATAGTTTTATTTCATGAGATAATTGCTGATATTGTAAACTCATGCAAAAGAAAACCTTATGGTAAAGTTCATTTGGTGATGAGACACTTCAAGGGTCAGGGGTTAGGACCTCATCTGTTATATGTTTAACTTAAGGACACATGCTATAGACATAAACACTGGTATTTATCTCCATTTCAAAAGAGCTTCAAGTACATGCATGTTTCAATGAAATATCTTTTATAAACAATGATTTGTTATCTCTGTTGAAATAGCATCAGACTTAAATGTAAGGACACATGATATACTTTATCACCTCCTTTTCAGAAGAGTTCCAGATATATTTGTTGAGATGAATCGCAATATCCTGTTATAATGAAGGCAAACTTAAGGACATGCTCTAAACCTTATCAACAGCATGTACCTCCTTTTGAGAGGACTTCCAATCCATATATTTGATGATGAAGTTTTTTTATTAACAGTGAATTAGAAATGTTGATGTGTTTATCACGGCAGTCATTTTAAAGTTTTAATTATCATGAAAGTGCTAGTTTTATGGTATTTCAATATATTTTTTTACCATAGCAATCATGATAAATAACCTTCTTTTATGCTGGACAAATAAGGTGATATTACCAATGATATCCTAATTGGTGACTCTCTTTTCCCTAAACTTACTTTGTGACAAGGGTGGGAAACAGTGTTAGATAAAAACATTGATATTAATTTATCCTGTATCTGTATGGAAGACCATACCCACAACACCAAATGTAACAACTATGTTTTTTTTTTTTTTTTGAAAGTTTGGAAATTACAAGAAATTATCAATAATTCTAGATGAGAAGTTTCCTATGAAGGTTTTAAACACTGTTTATATATACAGTGAATGTTTTACACACAATGTAATTGTATAGGGAGATCACTCTTGAAGACCAATTGACATTCAAGGCCAACCTATTGAGCTTAAAGTTCTCATCAATAATAGGAACTCGCTGTATTTGTATTGAAGTCATTTTCATCTTGTTGATTTTCATATTTTTTTAAAACTTGCTTGGCTTTAAGACCATCATCTGCCAACTTTTTCTGTGAAAATACATCAGTTCTAAATTATATCATATGAAGGACCAAGTCAGTATCAGTTTGAAGGGAGTTACCGGAACTTGCCTTCGGTTTGCTCCTTTCCCAAATTGCAACTTTAATAAGTCCCTGATCTGGAGTTTACAGAGAAAATGTTGAGATTTCAGTTGCTCTTGCTAAGCATGAAGGAACCGACACAATCATTTCCCCTAGATCCACCCCAGTCTTTGATGACTTAGTTCATAACTGCAGATCATTTGAGATCCTTACCGTATGTGATATATATTGTATAACTTCATGCTATTTCAGGATTTGAGACTCATTCCAGGAAGTGATTACAAAACAGAAACCTTCAAATTCCTCACCTTTGATAATGATATGTAAACAGGCCCACCCCTGGACGTTGTCCAAGAGTCCTAAACTGGACACTACAGCCGTATCAATGTTATATATATCTCAACCAAAACTTTCAATTAGAGGGTTAATCTAATAAAGCATAAATGATAGAATATATTTGTTAGAAACATACTCTTTAGAATGAGCTTGTATTTGTTGTAATTACTTATCAACAGACTGAATATTAGTGCAGGCACTTTAAATCTAATTAATGTATTTCTTTAAATTTTTGGGTTTTTTTTCGGCTGGCAGTGTTGCTAAAAGTAGATTTCATTAAACAGGTACCAGAAGGTAAAGGATGAGAGGAAAGATTCAAATGTCTGGGACTTTAGTCATTTGTTGGTTCTTTCTATCCTGATCTCCACCCTCAGATAGATGCAATTTACTTTGTCTATACAGTCAAACTTCATTGTCTTAAAGTCAGCAGGACAATATTCCATTTAAGTAAATTCAAATATTAAGTGTGAAGTTTGGCTGTGACCAATGAAATACTTCAAATTAAACGGGGTGTTCAAGTTATTAGAGTCTGAGCTATATACACTATACTAATCATTTCCATTATGACTAGGGTTGGAGACCGGTTCTCCATATTCTCCTATTGTACGTTCTGTGTTGTATTCAAATGTTCTAGGTGAGTTCTCTCTCGTTTCCTGTTCTTCATGGCTATTTCTACTTTCTAATCCCTCATCTTCTTCTTCAGCATCATCATTATGATCATCTAGTTCATTATTAATGTGATGAGAATCTATCGTACCACGATTGGAGCATGGTAGAGAGTTCCGCGGATCATTCACAGTCAAATGACACGGATCATTGACCATTCGATTGGATCCGTGAACCGTTCGACTGGCTGTAGTACTTGTCAGTGCTGATGGGTCACGGTTCATCCAGCCAGCGAGATTAGCGAGGCTGTACTGTCTGTATCGGTCACAGTAGACATACTTGGCAAGAAGGTTTACATGTCGATCAAAACATATGTATAACAAGGGTTGAATAGTCCCCTGACTCCAGGCAATAAAACTGAATGCCTGGTAAACTTTAGGGGACACAGTGAAATGGACGTCCACAAGCATTAGCAGGAATAAAGGATACCAACACAGGATGAACGATATAGTACTCAGGATGAAGAGCCTTGCGCGATGACTGGACTCATTTATCATTGTCTGAACATTGCATACAGACGTCACAGGGTCATCCATTATTGTAATTGACGACCGCACCAACATGGAGACGCGATTGGTATGGTTCACCTGTATTTCCTTGTAAAGTTTACATATAAAATGTACAATACCAATTAAAGTTAAGGTTAGGATACCAATCCACATCATATTAGCTACATATCCAGTCTGTTTACCAAGAGGGAAGGCACAGCTTCCGATCTCGGGATGGAAATCAAAATAGCCACCGATTAGCGTTGGTCCCAGGTGAAGAATAATGCTAGCTATATACACTAAAAGTGTTCCAAACACAACACAACACAGCGATCCCTTGGAATTTCCACCGATGTTTACCTCGCCGAATGTATAGGCTTCCGTACACACCATCGCTAACATATTAAACACAGAAGCCGTTATAATCAAAACATAGGTGGCACCAAAAAAATTGCAGTCACTTTTCATCGGTTTTAGTTGTGTCACAAGATTATTGGCTATGGGAATGCAGTAGGCAGCCTTGAGGAAATCGAGAAACGATGCATGTATAAGGAAAGCACTAGTTAGTTTTCTCATTGATCTTCGCACAAATACGAAAATCACAACCAGCAGGTTCAACAGAAGTCCCACCACAGCTACGAAGTACAGATAATACGCCTCCTGGTGGTAAGTTTTTCTGACGTAAGCCGATTGATCCATGGCGTGGTTTTGGTCGGGTATGAGTGCAATTCGGTGAGCATACAATGGAAGGTTGGGATCATCTTGATCAGTAGAGTCTTTTTGTAGGATGTTCAAGAGCTCAATGTTTTTTACGGAAGGTTCGTTGTTAACCATCTTTGGTAAAAGATAATATTTTCCGATTGGAACTCTTTGACCTTCAGGGTTGCAATGGAAGTCTTCATACTAATCAATGATGGACATCTGAAACAAATGAAACATAAATATCAAATATCTATGTAGTTATGTCAACAATATACCTTAAACTATTCCTGCTTCGATGGTTGTCATCTCACACATAGTAGGAATGGACCTTAATAATGGGGAATATGTGTATTTTTATCTTAAGAAATGAAAACGTATGGGATCACAAGCCCGACCACGTGTGTTTTCTCCGGGTACTTTGGTTTCCTTCCAAGTAAGACCCCGCACTCCTCCATTCAGGCCAAGAAGTGTGATTAATAATAAACTTAAAGCAGGTCTCGAAATTGTTGTCAAATAAATAAAGATTATTTATCGTATGATACATTAAAACATTTTCTTAAAATAGGACACAGTAATAGAAATTAGATACAACACACAGTATTAGAAAAATAATTTTGTCTTTTCATGTGTGCTAACCTTAACCTTAAGTGAGGCAAAAATTTGTAGTACAAGTGTACACTCTTTTTTGGAACTAAATGAATTGGGTGTTTTTTTTTGTTATCTGACTTGGTTTTCCTATTGAACCATTGGCAACAACAACAGTGAAAACGTCATCATGTCACATAGCAAAGAGTGATGTTACTCTGTTTGTCATCAGGTCTTGTTTTAAGCTTCTACATATCCTTTATCAACAAGTCCCAGGGATGGAGGGCTTGGGGGTGATACCAGTTAAGTTTATTCAGATATGAATGTCTAACTTTGAAGGTAATTGAGGTCTGGAAAAAAAAAGCGTTGAAATTTTGAATGACTTCTCAAAAACAATATAGCACTGGATCATGATATGTAGCCTGCCTGTAGCAACATGAAATAAATGGCTACTTTAGTTTGTTTAAGTGAATGGCCTTGATACAGTTTCAAAGTCACATGGGTCAAAGACCCTGTCTTTGTATTTATTTTTGCAAGATACAGTAACAAATGAGTATCAAGTTTTGGTGAATTTGAAAGGTACAAGATTCTTATCTTCTCTTAATAGCAGCAGAAAAGCTGAGTGATACAGGCCTTTCAAGCCTTTTTTTGAGGAAATGAAAGACACCCTATGATATTTGTTTAGAGACAGAAATCATTGATAAGAAGGAAATTTAAGGAGGCTTGAGAAACAATATTTCTTGATCTTGATGAGATTACAATAAATCTCACTCTTAAGGATGGGATTCTTGAATGTCTAATCCTTTGTAGAGCCTCAGAATAAAACATCTTAGTAAATCATGGATAATTTCATTTATTATATACCATATAATTGGTACTTTTTACCAACCAAAATTTTGCAATTTTATTTTAAACAATCAAATCATATTTCAAAAAATTAATAATTTAAGTCTAATTTTAAAATGACTTCTAATACAATTGGGTCATATTATTTCGTGATCATGTTAACATACCATGACTTAGTGAAGAATATATCATCCCAGCAGTTATAAAAAGTTACAAGGTATATTCTCAGCAACACAACAAATATATTGTATGTACCTGAAAAAAGGCGTATAACATTACCTGGTAAAATCTATACACAGGTAAAACAATTATCATGGTAATTAACTTATATAGGTAAAGGAAATTTCAGGAATGTTACATGTGTTTTACTTTGTTAAGGGTGATTAACACCTGTTGTAGGCGTAAGGGCCATCTGGAAAAAATGTTACATCTAATTAGTAACTCATTTACTTCTGAAAAGTTTACAAGGAAATGCTCATCAGTAGCTTAAGACTTTGTATTTCATTAGTCTTTGTGCCATTTAACAGTACATAATGTATCTCCATCTGATGTAATGCAGAAAATTTACCTCCCTTATAAAAATATCTTAATACTCATTTGAAGGCCAGAGGATACATATTTATGACACTGGATCTCATAGTCATCTTTAAAATGCTCATTTAAAAGTTTGACTGATCGCCATTTTTTATGCAGTGCCTATCTCTGTTTCCTTATAAATTTGACTATCTAGAGATATCATGATATGTTGTATAATTGTACTTTTGTTACCAGTAGTTTGGTTAAAATATTTTAAGAGGAGTTATTGCCCTTGGTTTCACTTGATATTTAAACCTTGTTCTGAAATTTTTTCAGTCAGTCTCAGTCATGATCAGCTGCCATTTTTTCCTGTTCTTGGTGAAGAATTGTTTACAAAATTGTTGTTAGATGTGAGTTTAAAGAAAACCTACAGTTTAAAAACTAAGTATAATTTGTTGAAAACTCTACTTGTTAAAACGTTGTTTGCTTTCCTTCCAAACAGAAAAAAAATTGCAGATTTCAATATAATGAAGAGAAATTTCACAATATAAGCACAAGTCCCAATAATCCACACTGAAAGGTTGATAATGGCAAAACCAGGGCTCATATGAACTTTTATCTGTTACGTTGAGAAAGTAAGAGTTTCTAGCTACTGGCCTTACACACTGTATTTCGTCAGTATAACCATATCTATATTGTGTTCTCGATAAGTAGTTGGAGAGGATGCATTATTCAAAGTGCTAACTTAAATTGTAACTTGACAAGCGAATATGATAAATGTATCTGTATTGTAATAGGATTTTTTGTGAAAGCTCATTGATAGTTCTGACATGTAGAATCAACATTCCTATTTTCTGACTGGTGTGCATTGACAGCTTTCAGTGCTGCCTCACTGTAACGTTTGTTAAAGGAAAGAGAGATCACAACACTGCTGTTGCTCAAGTCCTTACTTATATAATTTAGAGAAAAATGATCTAGTCTTTTTGTCCTTGTCATTTTCTCCAAACATTAATTTACAGATATGTAGTAAAAAAGTGAGATAACAGTATCTGTCATCGCCATATAGTGTATTAGAAAGTTTCATAAACTATTTGCTTAAGCTGACATAGCATTGAAAGTCTGGGTCCTGGATAAGCTGTTTATAGCATAATCAATTTAATCACAACAAACATCTAAAGGACTTTGATCTAATTGTTCTACCACTGACTCTAGGGAATTGTGGGAAATGGCAATTGCATGGACATCCCTCTTGGAGCAAATAAGTGTGGTATGTTATCAACAAGTATATGGGGTTTTTTTTAAACAGTTTATTGATTTTGTTGTTTATATGTGAATGTTATGGATTCTATTTATCCAACTATTTGGAGAGGGGGGGGGGGATTCAAAGTTGTGGCTAAGGGCCTTGTTCTACAATGGTTTCATGTTCTCATGGTTTACTGTACATTGTAGCTTAATAAAACAATGCAAATTTCACCACATTCAAATTTTAATAAATCATTTTGAATTTTGATTTACAGATTTCAAATTGGTGATTTTACAACATTTGTTCCAGAAAAAAATGTACTAAAAATGAAATCTGCATTAAAGTGCATTTACCTATCTTCACAATTGCTACAATAAGAAAATAAGATGGTTGTTTAATACATATGTTTTACAAGACAATATAGAACACTGAATATACATGTTGTATCAGGTAATGCATCTTATTAATAGTTTAACACCTCACCCCCACCCCCCCACCCCCCCACCCCACCCCGAAAACAAAACAAAACAAACTTGCTATTGATTGTCAAATCTTAATCTGATCAGGATCACACCTGACAGGCTAAAATTCTGACTTAATTTAAAAGGTTGAATTACATTAACTTTATTATGCAGTTTCATTCTTTTACTGGAATAGCTCTCCTTTGTCATAACAAGACAGAAAAAAACAAATTCTTTGTATGAGTTATCATCTCATTTGTCTGAACAATTCTTGTCAATTTTGCAGAGAAACAAATCTTTCTTAAATCTATATTTCTCTTGGACCATAGTTTGTAATTACATGAACTCAAACACCATCTTATATTTTTAGGTTTCATTTAATCACTATATGTTAGTTGTATAGATCAATACAAACAATTAGAAAAAAAACGTTGTGGCTACCTTGTATTTTGTCACCTTGAAATTTGTTGGAATTATATCTTAATGGATACTTCTAAATTCTTTTTTTATCCCTACTTGTCTGTACTCTTTTCATGCATAGTTGTCACTACTTTAGTTTTTCCTTAGTTGTCCCAATTCTTTTTTGTCTTTAAGTTGTCACTATTCCATTTTGTCCTTAGTTGTCCATTTTTTTTGTCTTTAAGTTGTCACTATTCCATTTTGTCCTTAGTTGTCCCAATTCTTTTTTGTCATTAAATTGTCACTATTCCATTTTGTCCTTGTTTGTCTATAAGCCATAGAAAATGCAATTCAACCTATCATGAGATACATGTAGAACTACCAATCATGTTCTGAATTATAATACATATCCTGTTTTTATTTATTTCAATACTAAAAATCTTACATATGGCATTCTTGGGTTAATAGGATAATAAAGAGATTGAGTGTCTTTATAGAGATTGTAATACCAATCTCTTTTCTGAGAAGCCCTTAAGTGATGGTTATAGATTTTGTTGTCTGAGCATGGGTGATGGACCTGTCACAATGATGGACATTCATCACTCATCACTCTGTGTACTGATTCCTCAGACAGTTTGTGTTTCTCAGGAATCTGGGAAACCGCTGGTCTGTACTGTCCTGATTGTGTCCTTGGCAAGACACTTAACCCTAATAGCTGGATGGCATGTGACTGGCCTCCTGTATGTTGTTCAGTGAGGTTACCCTCGCTACTATAAGGAGACTCTGTCACAAAATGACTCTGACTGTTCTCAGGGTGATCAGCCCATCTAAACAAAGAAAAAAATGCTTCTGACAAGTAAATATGGTTGCAGTCTAGAAGCTGTTGTATTCCTCAGCCTCGGTATTTTACATAGGTCTCCTAATTATTGTCCTTTATGCTAGTTTCCAATGAAATATTCGGTACATGGTTTGGACTTCTGATTCCCAAGCATTTACATAACCAGTCATAACAGTGGAAGCAGTGATGCTTTTCTGTATGAAGCAAAGGTCAGGAAAATTAGCCAGATAAACAGCATTATACAGCCTAGAGTTGTGAAAAAAAATTCATTCGGTATGAAAAATGAATATTGGTGTTCAAGTTGATATATTAATTTCTTGTGTTTAGAACA